CTAAGGGGCATCAGCATCTCGATTTATGAGATTCGGCGGCCCCACTCTAGACATATTGATCCTGCCGTTTGCGCCAGAGAGTCCGTCCGGAGATGTATGTCAAGCAGGGGGATGTTGCCGCTGACTTTGGGGCTGCGCGCGCTGCCCAATTTTTTTGCGCCGAAGCAGGTGCTTGCTGACCAGGAAGCGCAAGCGCCCCCCTGGTCTGAGCCCCATCGAGCTGGCGAGCGGCGCGGTCCTCAATCAGCCGACGCAGCAGGCAGCTAGGGCACTCCCTTCAAAGGTTACCGATGCTGTGGGGTAAGCGGAGGCCATGGACGCAGCGAGAGGATGGCCTCCCTGGACAGACTAGGATAAGGTGGGTATGTCAAGAGCCGGCAGGGTACATCGATTTTCCTCGTCTCCTCGCGTCTGGTAGGCCACTGCTGTTTTGGCGAATGATCAAATCATTGTCATCGTCCCACTCTCGATCACGGCCTCGGAGCGGCCAAATTCAAGCCCCTGCGGCAGGCCACCGCCGAGCCCCCCCCCGCCCCCCCCCCCCGCGCGGGACTTCAAGTCTCGAGATTGAGTTCCCCGGCGTAGATGCCGCTCGCGATGCAAGCAAAAGGCATCGGGAGAGGTCCATGGTGAGCACCGATGGGTTCTATGCGCAGCAGCTCGGATGGCCGCCAGATGAGGCCCTGGAGGTCATCCTGCTCCTGTGCAATGTGCTGGATGGGGAAATGGATTCCCCCCCTCTTCAATGTCCATCACTGCGCGGGTGCTCCCGCCGAAAACCTCTGGGCGGCCCCTAGGCCCATCGAAGTCTCTTCTGCGGCTTTGGGGGGGCATTCGCAGGCAGCCGGCGGTCGCTCGGGGGCCGGCCCGCCAGGGGCCCCAGCCTGCCGCGAAATAGCGCGCGGGAGCGGCAGACGCCGCCCGTTGTCGAGCCCTCCTGCCTGCAAGAGGGGGTGCCCCTGAACGGTGCTCGGTCGCGCCCCCGCGTGACTTCTCCATGCGCAGCGGAGGCCAGTCCGCAAGGAACCCAACCCTGAGGCCCCAGGGCGCCCATTGATTTTGAGTGCGGGGCCGTCGCGCGCTCCACCGCCAAACCATCGAAACCCTAGGAACCCCAGGGCGCTCTGGAGGCAAGCGGGGTGTTTATTAGCATGGGTCTCCATTTTGCGGGACTTCCCCAGGTGCTGCAGTCGCTGTCCGTCGAGCAGGTGCTCGTTCGGTGCGAGCTGCGCGGTCTCCCTCCCGGGCCCGGCCTGCCTTGCGCGCCCGGAAACTGCGCTCCGAGGTGCGCGAGTCTGGACGGCATGCTAACGATTGCCTTGCACGCGCTGAGAGGCGCCATCGCCCGCTGCCCGTTCTCCCCGATTCTCATTCGTGCAAACTCGCCGTCGGGTCTGGACTCCGTCGAGTACCTCTGCATGGGCTTCAGCCATTATGTAGATGACCGCATCCACGCTGCAGGCGCTTATCAAGGAGCCCCCCATGGGGTCGCCCAAAGGCCCTGGGGCCTGAAGCGGGTGGTGGGCGAAGATATCGCAGCGACGCCAGCCGAAGATAAGGCTGCTTTGCCAGTGCCGAACCGCCCACTCGGGCTAGGAATCCAAAAGCAGACAGGGGGGGGGTCGCTCGCGGAGCCCATCGCCTCCGCTAGCGTGGGCGTCAGTGCCGGCGACAGCGCGGGTGAGATGTTGCGCCAGAAAGGTTCGGACGCTAAGTCCGAGGTTCGGCAGAGGAATGCAAAAGCGAAGGCGAAAAGGCTCGGGCGCCCTTCGGGCCGCAAGGGTCGCCCGGCTCGCGCGGCTCGGGTCTCCGGCACTCTCCCTGCCCCAACTTGCGCCGCGGAAATTCACTGAGTTTTTGGCGCCGAACTTCTCCGCCTGGGTCGTTCGTTCGCGACCATTCTCAGACCCGGGGCCGGCGGCGCATCGCTGTCGATCATGCTCGGCGGCCCGACGCGGCTTGTTCAAGTGGCCCCCGTCGTTCGGCGGCATGGGGAAATGCGGAATTCTGCGCCCCAGGTGCACTCGTTTCATGTGTTCCGCGCAATTCTCTGGGACGCCTGGGCCCCCCATTTGTCCAGGCGCCATCCGGGGCAACCCCGGCGCGTCCGGGCTGGGCGATGGCGAACATCGCCGCAGTAGTCGCAGGCGCATGATTGCAGATCCCCCTCGCGCCGCAGTCGCCAGCGACGTTGAAGGACGCGGCGCTCGACGCCGCCCTGCGCCAGCTGGAGCGACAGATCGGCGAGGCGTTGCTCTTCGCCAAACGCGCGCGATTCGACGCGGGCCCTGAAACGCTTGGAATCGAAGAAGTCCTCGCCCAAACAGATAGCCGTTTTGATGGCCGTTTCGACGGGGGCCCTTTGGAACGGGGTCTACGCGCGCTCGAAAGGTCACCTACGCCCCGAAGAGTGCCCCCTCCTGGGCGGGAATAGAGACGCGCTCTTACACCGGCGATGGAAATGTCCGAAAGCAAAGGCTGGGCGAGAATCAGTTGTGGGTTCGGAACTGTTGGGGGAGCTCGACTTGTCATTCGCTTTCTGCCGTTGCTGAAGGGGGGCCCCGCGCCCAGGAGACGCGCGCCCAGCCCCGCTGTCGGAAGGGCCCTGGTCCGCGCAATGGTTCATCGAGCCCCCCTCCCCCCCCGACCCTTATCCGCTAGAAGGAGGCGTCATGCGTTGGCGGCTCGTGTGCAAAACGCGCTGTCACAGTTGTGACGAGCAGCCTGGTGCTGTATATTTTAATATAAAAAGAACGGCGCTCGGCAGTGCGAAGAGAAGTGCCCTGCTCGCGCCCCCCTTAGACAAAATACTCTATGTCGTGGCTCAGTAGCCCAATCATGTGCGTGAATGGACCATCGGCGATTTACTCTGCCTGCTCAAACGTTTTGAGCCAGCTTAACAGCATGACCGAAGAGCAGGCATCATTTCGGAAGGTTTATGCGGGCCACATCATGCAAGTTAAAATTGACCCAGGTTGCCGGTTTGTCGAAAACGCGGTCAAACTAAACCCCGCCGCTCCTTCCAAGAGCCCGATCTCTCAGATGTTGAATATGTTTGGATAATGAGGAACCACTTGGCGATTCTAGTAGCCAAGGGCACCGTCTCACTGCATTCCATGGACAACCAGATCCTGGGCGAAGTGGACAGGCATATCAAATATGTTGGTGCGACCTGTCAGCTG